TCCTGCTCTAGAAAAAAAATATATCTTGGTACTGTACTCAGAAGAATGGGCTGAAAATAACATAAGGAAATTTAATTGATACAAGTCTCAGATTCTTTATTTAAGAAACAAAAAGCAAATGCTGAGATTTGCGATGAGGAATGCTTGACTTGGTGAGAACATTTGCAAAAAAAAAATTCTTGGAATAGTAGTTGATTACAAACTGAATATAAGCCAGCAGGGAAATGTGGCTGCAAAAAAAAACATGAATTTTTAGGCTGTATCAAAAGAAGTATAATTTCCGAAACATGGGAAATAAATTGGTTTACTTGATTCTGCTTTGGTCAGATGCCACTTCAATTATTGGGTCCACTCCTGGGTGTTCAATTTTAAGATTTCTAGTTAGAATATTATTTGAGTTAACTAACTGTGCTTAGTAAATCATGATTTGTAGCTTAATGCGCTACATGATCCCTGATAATTGAAATTTATTCAGTAAATCATAGTTTATTAGTATTGATTAATTATGTGCTATCAGGTCAGTGTTGATTCTTAGCAACCACATATTAATATACAAAGTACAAATGGAACTACAGAATTCTACTTACCTTATTTTTCGGAGTATAAGACCTATCTTTTTCCCTCAAAAAAGAGGGTGAAAATCTGGGTGCATCTTATACACTGAATACAGCATTTTTGGCCTCCCAAACCCCCCCCTTCACAAAAATGGCACTGCGTAGCCTTTAGGAGGCTTCCAGAGTGCTCCTGGGGGCTGGGGAGGGCAGAAATGAGCGAAAAATGGGCTATTTTTTACTCAATTTCCCCCCCCCCTCGGCTCCCAGGAGCATTCTACAAGCCTCCTAAAGGCTATGCATGTCCTTTTTTGGACAAAAAATGGGCCGGTTTTTGCAAAAATTGGATTTTTTTGCTCGTTTTTGGCCACCCCACCCCCCAGGAGCACTCTACAAACCTCCTAAAGGCTATTCATGCCCTTTTTTTGACAAAAAATGAGCCATTTTTGGGAGGTCTGCAGAGTGCAAAAACTTTTTTTAAAACTTGTCTCTTCAAAATCTTGGTGCGTTTTATACTCCGGTGAGTCTTATACTCCAAAAAATACGATAATTTTGGGCTAGTTTTTCACCTTTAATTTGCATCCCATTAATTTGCATCCCATTGCTAGTCAATAGGTAAGAGAGGAGTGAGGTTTTTTAATCTGTCTCAATTTCTGTAAGAAATGCCATTTTAATAGAATTTAATCACTGAAATAGGCTGTCACCTTTTGTTTTTCTTTATTCATAGAGCGAAAAAGTTTCTAGAAGTGCAGGCTGCTTAACTGCTTGGGAATGAGAGCCAACGCAACTTACTTTTACTATTATCCCATAAATACAATAAATGTAGCCACATATTTTCTGTACATTTTACTCATATAGGAGAAGTGATCCCTTAAAGATGCAAAGAAATTTTCATCAACCCCACTCCAGTCTAATTACAAATAAATGTTTACTGGAAATGGAAAGCAGTGAAGTGTAAATCATAAAATAAAGATAAAATTCTATAAGAGGACTGCCAGATTTCTATGTTAAAATAAATTATTCCACTTCAACAGATTTAGAAGGTTCCTCAATCAGTAGCATCTCACACATTGGAGTTACCTGGTTTTCTGTGGGTTTTTTCTTGACATTATTCTGTCTGATTTTTGTTTTTAAGTCAGCATTTCCTTACTGTTTAGTATAATCAGGTCCCAATGGATTATCTGAGGGAGGAGGTTTTCTCCAACAAATGGTTTTTGCATCTCCTTTAGCATAAACAAAATCCATCAAGTTAAAAAAATAGTATTTCATATCAAACTATCCAATCAATAGGCTCAAATATACTTTATTTATCAAACATTTATAAAATATATGAACGTATCAGATATACTTTCCCCAGGGGCTGGGGTGCTAGAATCTACACATAACAGAATATGCATACTTATAAAAAAGAATTATATTGTCACCTACATAAATATAGGATTTTCATTAAATTGTCCAGAATTTCTTTCTTTGAGAGAATCACCACAAAACTTCCAGCATGATATAGGTAACCATTGTGTCACGTCACAAGTGATGGCTCCTTTTTCAGGAAGCATTAGAATGGTCTACTCTTTGATATTGAGCACGTGTGTATATTTCTCTTCTGTTCCATAGTTTGTGCCAGCATATATTTCTTTGCAGCAACCTGCCAAAACAACAAAGAGATCAATATGGATTGACCATGCCCTGCTTCAAATTAGAATAAAATAGAATAGCAGAGTTGGAAAGTACCTTGGAGGCCTTCTACTCCAACCCCCTGCCTAGGCAGGAAACCCTACACCACTTCAGACAAATGGTTATCCAACATCTTCTTAAAGACTTCCAGTATTGGAGCATTCACAACTTCTGGACGCAAGTTATTCCACTGATTTTTTCTAACTGTCAGGATATTGCTTTGGAGAATAGATTGACTCCCTCTTCTTTGTGGCAACCCCTGTGTCATTCTTTTCATTAAACTAAACATACCCAGTTCCTGCAACCATTCTTCATATGTTTTAGCCTCCAGTCCCCTAATCATCTTTGTTGCTCTTCTCTTTCTAGAGTCCCCACATCTTTTTTACATCATGGTGACCAAAACTGAATGCAGTATTCCAAGTGTGGCCTTACCAA